ACGGGTCTTTTACAACTCCGGGAGGAAAGAGTGCCAGACCTGGAAAAGACAACAATTCCTGACAGTTTCCCCTTCATCACATTGCACCTGTGTTAGCTTAGTTGATTGGACAGTGTTTTCATACCAGCATGAGTTTAAAAGCCCCTAACAGAGCCTGCTCCCCTCTTCCACTTGTGGTGCTACAGGGACCCTCTTTCCATGTGGTGTGTTCCCCTCTCCCACTCATGGAGGTATGAAACAGCCTGCCAGCCAGTGAATAAAGACTCCTGCCTTTATAAGAACCTGATCCCGACTCAATTTTGAGACAGAACTGGTCAGTTTACAACAACAGAGATAGAATGACTGGGAATATCTATTAAATTATCTTCCTTTCCTATTTCATCCTACACTCAAAAACAAATTCCAGGGACTCGCATCATAGAGCAGCAGGACTGGCATCCTATATGAATGACAGATCAAGTCCTGGCTGCTCCACTTCTGATTCAGCTCCCTGCTAGCGCACCTGGGAAAGCAGAAGATGTCCCAAGTTCTTGGGTTTCTGCACCCACACGGGAGACCTGGATCAAATCCCTGACTCCTAACTTCAGCTCAGCCCAGTTTTGGCTGTTGCAGTCACCTGGGAGTCAACCAGTGCATGAAAACTTACTTACTTGCTCTCCTTCTTTCTCTGTAAGTCAATCTTTTAAATAAATAAAAATACCACACCATGAAATTTTAAAAAAGCAGCAGCAGCAGCAGCAGCAGCAGCAGCAGCAGCAGCAGCTAGCATTGTGCCACCATGTGCAATGCTGGTGTCCCTTTTGGGTACCAGTTTGGATCCCAGCTGCTCTATTTTCCTTCCAGCTCCCTGATAATGGCCTGAAAGGGGCAGCAGAAGATGGTCCATGTCCTTGGGCCCCTTTTGCCTATGTGCAAGATGCTGATGAAGCTCCTGGTTTGAACCCAGACCAGGCCCAGCTATCTGAGAAGTAAACCAGTGTATGGAAGATCTCTGTTTCTCCCTTTCTCTGTAGCTTTGACTTTGGAATAAATAATTTTTAAAAAATAGCAATATATGCACATTAAAAATGCTAAATGTAGTGATAAACTAAGGGAAACTTTAAATTTTAAATAGATAAAAGCTCCTGAAAATTAATAGAAAAAAAACCACAATAACAATAGATTAACTTATGGAAAACACAAGTAGGCAATTCCAGGAAGACCAAACCCAGTCAATACGCAACTAAATTAACGAATTAATGGACTCTGCTCAGCAGAGACCTGCAAATTAAAAAACAATGAGGTCACTTCTCACCTCTCAGATCAGCAAAAGTTCCAAGCAGAATAACACTTGCTGCTGACAGCGAGGCAGAAAACAACACCCTGGCTTAGCGTTGTTGGAAATGTGAGTTGTCACATTTGGGGACTGTAAGCTGGCAATGTCTGCCTAGTAAAATTAAAATCCCCTAGAGTGAGTGTTTGGTGTAGCAGTTAAGACACAGGTTAGGGTTCCCACATCCCAGGAAGAGCACGTGGGCTCCCGATTCCAGCAACTGCTCTGGTGTATCCTGTGAGGCAACAATGATGGCTCAAGTAGCTGCACTCCTGCCATTCATGTGGGAGACCTGGATTGTGCTCCTGGATCCCGTCTTTAGCTGTGACAAAGTGCGGAGGCTGATAGCTAGCACTGGCTTGACAGATTAGTTGACAGCAGGCAGCACAGAAATGGAATCTCTGTGCCCTACCCTTCCTACCTCCTCTCGCACCATCCAAGTTAACTGAAGGCACAAAACCAGCTTCAGAGGCTCCTTGTGCATGCTGCTCCTGCCTTCCCCACCATTCAGGTCAACTGACAGCTCAGAAATCACTCTGCAGCACACCCGGCCCCTCCTGCCTCCTGTTGTATGAAGTTAGGTTAATTAACTACAGGAAAACTTTGGGCTCTGATAACTCCCTTCCTGCACATTGAAACTGTGCTCTGTACGGGTCTCAATCTGATTGGAGAATGCAAGCTTAAAAACTGACTTCTGCTATATGGTGCAGTGGCTCCTAAAGTGTAGCAGCAGCTGTTCTCACCAAGCTTGGGCAACAGACCCCTCCTAACATCCTACACTTGGGTTCAGTGTGATCTTTCTTGCACTCTGCAACATAGTTTGATTCAACCCAGGCTCAGTCTGGCATTTTGAGGAACAATCCGGGCGGAGGGGGATGTTTCCTCGTGCTCTTTCTCAACTAAAGTAAAAACATCAATTTTAAAGATAAATAAAACTTCCCCTCCTAGGAAACTGGCATAGAAATAAAAGCATCAGTGCACAGGGAAACATGTATATTCACATTTGTTAAAGCCTTGTGGCAACGACAGAGGCCTAAAGACCAGTGAATATCGATCCAGGTTATAGAGTACCATGCTGCCATCAAAACCCATGACTTAGAACTGTCTCCTCCAAGCTAGGGAAATTTCTATACACACTTTTGGTTAAGAGAGAAAAATCAGATGCAGTTAAATGTGTAGGCTATGTTCCCACTTCTAAAACATGCCTGCCCTTCCATTGTGGCACAGTGAATTAAGCTTGCTCTTGGGAGATGCCTGCCTCCCCCATCAGTTAACATCACAGTTGTTTCACTTCCAGCTGCTTCCTAGCACACCTAGGAAGGCAGCAGGTGAGGGTCCAAGGTCTTGGGCTCTGCCACCCGTGTGGGAGTCTAAAACGGGACTCCCTGCTCTGGGCTTCCACGTGGTGCAGCCATGTGGCCGCGAACCAGTGAATGTGTTAAGCAGAGAGGAGAAAACCGTCCACCTCTGTGTGAGGAATTATGGCAGACAAAGCAGCTGTGGGAAGGGGTAAAGCCTCAGAAGCAGGCCTTGGAAGCAGCCTGTGTTCATGATGTCTGGTCCATTTCCTGCTGGCTTCACAGGTGTTCCCAGCCCTCCCCCTAAGGCAAGCTCTTCTGGACAATCCTTTCCGGCCAGCGCCTAATGGGCTGTGCAGTCTGATAACACTGAGTCATGAAAGCTTGGGAGGAATATTACCTTCTCATTCCTTGCAAACCCTTTGTCCAGGAGAATGCGAGAAGGGGTAGAGGTTGTGAAACAGAGGAAGAATTACCACCACCCCCATTTCTTTATAAAACCTTAGTCTCCCCTGAGATGCCCACTGGCCTGCCCAGTGCCTTCCCCAGTCTGGCTGGGCGCTCTCAGATTCCGTCCGGCATTCTGATGGATGCCCTACCCCGTTAAACCTTGCTACCACTCTCACCGCTCTCTTCTGTGTCACGCCTCAATTCTTTCTTGTGCCGCGCATCTGTTCCACCCCATCCCCGCCAGCAAATGGATAGCTCTTGCTCTCATTCTCTTCTTCTGCCTCTATGTGTGTGGATGCATGTGTTTCAACTGCAAAAGGTGGAAGGGAAATTAGGAAAGAAACAAGTAAGCCAGGTTGTTGGCCTAGCAGGTATGTTAGGAAGGAAGGAGTAATGCTTAAAAATATCCACATTGTGCTGGGATTCCATCCACACAGATGGACGCACACATGCAGTCACCCAACTATTAATGACTGTGATCTCAGGGGCTGCAAATGCAGGTGCCTTTCCACTTTTTTTCAATATCTGCATGTTACATATATAAGGGGGATAAAAAGCTACTTTCATCTTGGGGACTGCGAAGCTTGGGCAGGTAGAGGTCTCTGGGGGACTTAATTTAACAAGTCTAAAGATCGATATTAATTAACATATCAATTGCTGGCAAGTCAACTGACAAACTATGGACTTGTAGGTGCTCCCCCGGCAGCCGAACTGTCAGCTGTAGCACTGTTTACAATGTTCCCACTTAACTGAACCTGAGGGCTGCAGTGATTACAAATGTCAAAACAGCAGGAGATGATTAAGGCAGATTTTCCTTAAGAGCCATCAAATGACTGCCTCTCCTATCCTCATCAGAGCTGAGATTCCCTTCAGCAGCCGACTCACTGGCAACTCCCACGTTCCACTGTCACGGCCTTCCTTTTTCCAAACTTCTCAACCATTTCTCTCTCGCCAGGCCTTTCTTTAGTGGTTCTGAAAGTCTTTGTCCTAAATCTTCTATCTTGGATCGGCTATCTTTTACTACTTCCTTCTCCGGGTGCTTGCCTTAGCAGGCTGGGGGGCTGCAGGGGGTGGGGGGTCACCTTGCTTGGCGAATGCCCTCTTTTCTCCTCTTCTTGCAGAAGTTCAGGTTTTGTCTAATGCAGTAAACGTTAGGCGTCCCTAGTTGGCTAGGGGATTGGGGTTCACCTGCTCGTTTCTCATACAACATGACAGCAAGCTGGGTGTCCAACAGGCGGCTCAGGAGTCACAAGCAAATACGGCAAAACCTAAAGAAGTAGCCGAAAGATGTGTGTTGGCACTTTGGCCGCTCAGAGCTGGGGACCCACAGGGGAGGACGCCACTGCCAAGACTGGGAAGGGAAGGGCACGTGCCCCAGTCAGGTGGTGTGGTCGGAGAGAATCTGCCCTAAGGTCTTAACATTCAGGCCCCACTGCCCACCTTCCGGGGGCACGCACTACGGGGCTGCAACTCTTAGGCACCCTAGGGGCTGAATTACAACTGAGCACAGAGGGAGAGTAAGGGAGCCTCCAGAAGAGACTGGAAGACCTGCCTCCAACTCTCAGCAGGACCCCTAGGTCCTTAAGTAGGTCCCTACTTCAGTCTCTCAACTTGCCCATCGGGGCCATGGCATTCCTTATGCCCTGGTGCTGAGTCTCCCCCATAGTCCTTACACCAACCAAGAGAGGGGTCCGGCTGCAGACCCTCGGCGCCCTCAGGACAATGAGTTTGCTGCTCAGGAGGACAGGATCACGGCGGAAGACGCGCAGCCGGCGAGCCGGGCGGGGAAGGCGGGCGGCGCACAGCTCCACGGCCGCGGCAGGCGCGGAGGGAGGGTCCACGGCCGCGGCAGGCGCGGAGGGAGGGTCCACGGCCCAGGCCCCGCCCCTGGCCCTGCCCCGGCGCGCTCCCGGCTAGTCACCCCAGGCAGGGTGGGAGGGGGCGGCTCGGCTCCGTGTCCGTGCGCGCGCCCGCGGCCAGGTTGCAGGGCTGGGCGCGCGCCCCGCGTCCCAGGCAGGAAGATGGTGGCGAGCGCGCGGGTGCAGAAGCTGGTGCGGCGCTACAAGCTGGCGATCGCCACGGCGCTGGCCATCCTGCTGCTGCAGGGCCTGGTGGTGTGGAGCTTCAGCGGCCTGGAGGAAGACGAGCCGGGAGAGGTGCTTGGGCAGCCAGGCGGGCAGACAGGCCGAGCGCGGGGGCGCGCGGGGTCCTGGCGGGGCTTGTTGGCCGCCCCAGAGGGGAATTGGGGCACTGGCCGCGTGCGTGCGGGACGCGGGCGGATGTCCGGAGCGGGTCAACCGGTCCCTTGTGTACCTTCTTCACTGGCGGGCCTGTAGGGGCTGCTTGCGGGGGTGGTGCGTGACCCGGAGGCCCCGGCCGCCGCCACAGGACTGGGGACTGGGGCGGGAGGAACGGGTCGAGTGGTGGGGTGGTCTCTGGCCTGCGAGGCGATGAAGGTCAGGCGCGGGGAACGGGACTGGGAGGCGGGGCTGGCCCCGAGCTTGCTCGGTGGTGGGGAGCCCCAGGCCAAACTTTGCAAAGTTGGGAGGGGGCGGGGGTGCGCGCGCCTTGGCGAAGGAGTGGGGCCGAGGGACCCTGGGCACGGTGCCCAGCCGTGTCTGGGAGGCTAGCGAGAGCGAACGGCGGGGAATGGAGCTGGGGTGGAATTCGGGCCTGTGACAGAGTGTGTGTGCCCAGGACTTGGGGATACGGTTTATGAACTAAAGAGAGAACTGGGTGTCTTCAAGGGGTGGCTTCCTTGGCCAGGGGTTTGAAGAACCTGGGTGATTCTTCAGGAGAGGATGGGAAGGAGAAGTGAGCTGGTGAGATGGCCTCAGGACATTAGGGAACTGGGGCAGGGGCCATCCAGGGCACCGGCTGGGAAGTTCCGGAGCGCTGGGGACTTCATCACTCAGGACTGAAGGGCTGTGGGCTGGAGGGACCACACCATAGTCCTATAATGTGGGCCAGTGGGGCAGGCACCCCTTCTCAACTTTGTTCTGTGCTGGGGCCTGGATACCTGCTTGCCCCATCCTCTTGGGCTTCTCTGTCTGTCAGGGTGACTGCTAAAGGGGACGTTCTGACCAGATCCCCTTCCTGTGCCAGGGCAGTCTGCAGGGCCTGGTGTAGAGCCTGAGGGAGAAGCTTGCCTGTTTCTTAAAGAGAGCTGGGAATCCTTTGAGACCCTAACTCCCAACAGGCGCCGAGGGTGGTAGATGAGCAGGCTGGCGCTGTGAGCGTGTTCGGTAGGAGGGTGAGCAGGACAAGAGTTTGAGAAGTGGGCAGGAAGGATGCTGTGTGAGACTGACTAGGCGGCGGAGGCCTTGAGGGGACTGGAGACCCTGCAGCACGTGAGCAGAGGTCAGCCACCTCTCCCGGGTAGCGGGGAGGGGCAGTGTGGTCAGAGCCCCTGAGTCATCTTAGAAACAGATGGCCCCGAGCTCCACAGACCCGTGGGTCCCCACATGGGCTCTGGGGCCCTGCTGCCCTGCCCGCCGTGGGGGGTGGCCACTTGGAGCAATGATGAGGTTGGGGGTGCCTGCTCTGGTCCACCTTCTCCTGCTGCTTCCTGACTGAGCTGGTGGCAGAATGCTGTGCTGTTCTAAGACCCCTGAGGCAGTCCTGGCAGCCTTGGTTGCTTGGACCCCCATGGTGAACCACCTCACCAGACTTCGGGGTTGCCAGGTGGCATGGTGTAGCGCTGAGGGAGGTGGGCCCCGAGGTGGGTCTGCCCTTGTCGGCACGCCGCTCCAGCTCTGCTGTCATGTAGATCCCTCTTTGTGCGTCTTCATCAGTAGCCCCCCTCAAAGTGGCGATTATAATAGCGCCTGGCATTGGATGATTACAGAGATTACATGAAAATGAGGCCTTCGAGCACTTGCAGGAGTTCCTGGCATGCACTAAGCTGTCAGTAAATAACTCTGATTATCTCAGCACTGTATCTTGGGAATAGAGATCCATTCATCTGAGTATTCATTCAACAAATACTTATTAAGTCCTGGGTGCTGTGCTCATGCTGGGGATACAGGAGAAATCATCTAAGGAATAGTCATGCTCCTTGCCATCTGCAGGGACCGATAGATGCTGACGGGGCGGGGGGGGAACTCCATAGGCTGACCAGGGAAAGTCTGAGGCCTGCAGGAAAGTCCGAGCTAAAGGCCCTGAGCTCCGGGGACTTAGCTGGGCACCTTGGGGACTGGACAGGAGGGCGTGGTGCTTGCCCCAAGGAAGGTTACATCCTACATAGCGGAAGAGACTACAGGAAGGAGCCGGGGTTTTATCCTGAGTACAGTGGGAGAGTGCGAAAGGGGTTTGAATAGCAAGGGGATCCGATGTATGCTGAAGAAGCTTGTTCTGCCCGGCCATGGAGGGGTGGAGCGGTGGAGTGGATGCCTTGGATGTTCACTCACCCTCGGAGAGCCGCTTGATGGTTCTCTTAATGTTCACAAACATCATCTCCCTACTCATTTGCAAGGCAGGCTGAGAAGTCTAGAGGGGGCAGCTGTGGGCGAGCGTTTCTATGCTGTGTCCCAGGAGGAGCTGGGAGGTGGCTTCCTCCTGTGGGGAGGGGACCTAAGGCCAGAGTGCATCCCCCAGCCCCCATCTGCAGTGTTCAGAGGGGATGGGATTCTGTCCACAGAGACAATTGGGGGTAGCCAAGCCTGGGTGCTCACAGGGATAGGCTTAGCAGGACGAGGGACCAGGATTGTGGGGGACAGCTGCCCACCAGTGCCTCCCATTCTGCGCTACTGCCTCTTGGTCCCCCAGCTTCCTCTGGGACTGTCCTTCTCAGGGTCAACCAGCTCCCTGCTGCAGTGCAGGGCACCGACATGCCTGTCTCCTCCCACATCCTGTCCCCCACCGCAGCCAGCCTGGCCCTGTGCCCTGTGCCCTGCCCTCCTGACCAGCTGCCTGACTTGCTGACACTGGCTTCTAATCTGGGCACCCACAGCTCTCTTCCACCTCTGCTCACCTTAAGTGTGGGGAAGTTTTTCTCTGGTGGGTGTGTGCGCAGGTCAGATACCACCAGTGGGGCTGCCATCCCCTTTCCTTGGTACAGAATTGGATTTGCTGCCTGTGATTGCAAGGGTCTTTTCTCCAATGGTATCCTCAGGGGCTTCTCAAGAAATCAGAGGGCTGTCTGGGCACAGGGCACCCAGGGCACAGATACGAATGTATAGAGGTGGGGTTGTGGCCTGCAGGTGGCTGTCCTTGACCTAACCACGCTTGAGGAAGAACGAGAGAAAGGTCCCAAGGAAGGTCAGGTGTAGCAAGAACCCAGCCCGGTGGAGGCCAAGATATATGGGGTATGGGGTTGCTCTCTGGACTTCACACTAGACCGTGTCCTGCCCTTCCAGTAATCATAATGAAAAGGACAGCAGCACTTATGAAAGGCTGTGCTTGTGCCGACAGCTTTCCGTTCACTCAGCATTCAGCAAATCCTTGCTGAGTGTCCACTGCTGCTGGCCACTGGGCTGCAGGAACATGTCAAGAGACAAACAGCTCTGCCCTGTGGTGCTGACAGTCTTGGGGACTTCAGAGTGGGAGGAGACGGGGACAGACGAGGAATAACACAACATAAATGGACAAATGTCAGGATGCTAAGAAGCTGTTCTGTGCTATGGGGACATCAAGCAGAAGCGGAGGGAGGGCTGGAGTCTTCAGCCCAGTTCAGGGGCTCAGGTGGGCCTCATGGAGATGATGCGACTGGAACAGAGAAATAAAGGAGGCAAGAGATGAGCTGGGGGTGTTGGACATGGGGGGCAACAGGTGAAAGGTCTGGAGGAAGGAGTGCTAGGGAAGATGGAGGGACACTGGGACGGCCACCCTGGCTGGCAGATGGGGGGTGGGGACATTGCATAAATGAGGCCCAAGGAGGTATCCGGAAGCCGCTCACCTGTTCTTATAGACTGTTTTTTACCTGGGAGAGGGAGTCCCAGGCAGTCTCGAGCAGAAGGGGAACTTCCGTGTGGATGGGAACAGTGGCTGTTATGACCAGAATGGACTCCAGGGGAACAAGAACAGGAGGAGCAGGGGGCCCAGGAGCCCAGGCAGGGGAAGTGGGAAGGGAACCCCAATAGCCCTTACTGATGGGTTCCTTGTAGGCTGTGAGGGGAAGTGAGCCACCAAAGCTGGCTGTGGCCTGAGTAGCTTACAGAGTAACCAATTGGGGACCTAGAACAGGAACAGCTGGGGAGGAAGAGCAGGTGTTGCCTTTGGCTTTGGGGGTTTGAGAGGTCTGTTATGTCCCCCAGGGAGTGTCAGGAGCCTGCAGGTCCACAGGGGAGCAGGCTGAGAGAGACATCCTGGACTCTCAGACTGAATGAGCATGCCTGGAAGGGATGGAGGAGGGTTTGCCTGGGGAACCTAGTGGAGGTGCCCGGAAGCAGAGAGGGGGGGGTCAGGAGGAAGAGGCTCTGGGCTGAAGCTGGAGAGGATTTACTGGACAAGGCTGAGGGCTAGGCCCCCTCCTCTCTCCCTCTAGGCTCTTGGGCATGCTTCAGTTCACTGGAGACACACTCATTCCTGGGGACAGAGGTGACTGCTGGGGACTTGGCAGAGCTGAATGCAGAGCCCTGCTCACTCCAGAGCATTCCTGTCTCCTGTACCTCCCTGATCCTCTGTCCCTTCCCCTCCAGTCTCCCCCACATCAGCCACCAGGGTCCTGTGCATCAGTTACTGCATCCGCTATGCAGGCGCCGGAGTGGCAGAGCTGCCAGGGCTCTGCTGGGATGAGGGGAGCAGGTGCCACATTCTCACAGCTCAGCACATCCCACTCCAGGGGCAGGCAGGGTGGCTGTGGTCTGGCCTGGCAGGGAAGGAGAGGAGGGTGGGTACCCAAGTTGTGCACATGTGACTGGGGCCATGTAGAAGCATGGCTGTTGTCAGGAGCACCGGGAGCAGGGGTGCGATAACATGGCACACAGCACACAGGTGCCACAGCTTCTGGGTTCCTCTTGAGAGGAAGCCCACGAGTGCAAGTGCCAGGAGGGGACAATTTTCGGCCACAGGTGCCTTCAGGTTCAGGCCTACTCTCCAGCTGGGGATGGAGCGTGGCTGCACTGGACCTGCAAGCAGTCTTTGCTCTGCGGTCTCCTTCTGTGCTGGCCGGGCCTTCTTCAGTGCACTGTGGGTTGCAGCTCATCCCACCCTGCTCCCCTGACACACAGGGGCACCACCAGTGACTTGCTTGTGTTATATCCAGATTTTGAGATCCCCAGAAATCATCAGGAGCCTGAAGTTGATGCAAATGCATAAGGGCAATTTATTCAGGTTGGCCTGGGCTCCCAGCCTTCACCCAGCCCAGCAGGACTGGGGAAGAGAGAGAGCCCTGAGGTTGCACAGCACAGGGTTTTATACACTTCAGGCCAATTCTACACAAATTCCACAGTCATGATTCATCAATTTAACTGTTAATTTAAAAAAAAAAAGAGCAAGTTGGCAGGCTTCTATTGGTGGGCTTGAAGCAAGCAACTTTCAAATAGTACAAACTGGTGGGTTGTGGGGTAGTGAGTAAGTTTTATCTAAAAAGCACACCAGGGGCCTCCTTCCTGAAGAGTGCTCTGCCTACGTAACCTGTCAGGTGTCACATAGGCTGTCAGTCCTGGAGTTCACACAGCCCCCCAAGCCATGCAAACAAGGCAGAAACCACAAAAGCAGAAGACACTGAGGTTCTTTACTTGCATCCTGCGTTCCATCCCACAACCATCACCGGGCACTGAGGTTTCAACTCCGTTCCTCCCTTCTAGGCCAAGCCGTTTCCCTTGTCTAACAGCCAGCCCCAGTGACTTGGCCAGTACTTGAGCCTGCAGCATGCTTTGGATTTGCTTAGAAATGCCTGTTGTCTGAGGAACAGTCTCTTCCTAGCCAGCCCCATTGGCGGTGGCAGGTCTTTGGCTAATTTGCTATGCCCACCATGCCATCTGTGCGCTGATGTGGGAATGGGTGTGATGGAGTGCGGGCCTGTGTTTTCTTGGCTATGGGCCCTGGAGGTGTCCGATGAGTGACAGTGCCATTTGCACATACAGCATCCTCGGGTGGGCAGGAGCGAGAAGTGATGAATGATGGCACCCAGTGACCTAGGTCCCCCATGTCTTTTACAGAAAGGAAGACAGAGGAAGCCCAGACCCCTGGACCCCGGCGAGGGCTCTAAGGACACGGACAGTTCAGCGGGGCGGCGAGGCAGTCCTGGGAGAAGGCACGGGCGCTGGCGGGGCCGCCCTGAGAGTCTGGGTGTGCCTGTGGCCAAGGTGGTCCGGGCAGTAACCAGCCGGCACAGAGCCAGCCGGCGGGTCCCGCCTGCCCCACCCCCAGAAGCCCCAGGCCGTCAGAACCTGAGTGGGGCAGCAGCTGGAGATGCCCCCGTTGGGGCAGCTGGCTTCCCACCACATGGAGATACAGGAAGTGTGGAGGGCGCCCCGCAGCCCACGGACAACAGCTTCACCCCCAAGTGCGAGATCGTGGGCAAGGATGCGTTGTCTGCACTGGCCCGGGCCAGTACCAAGCAGTGCCAGCAGGAGATTGCCAACGTGGTGTGCCTGCATCAGGCAGGCAGCCTCATGCCCAAGACTGTGCCCCGGCACTGCCAGCTGGCGGGTGAGGCACGGGGGGGAGGAGGCACTCCAGCCCTTCCCAGCCATGGGTAGGGGACATAGCATGGCCCAGGTCCCCACTCTACCCCTTGTCTTCAGAGGGGCCCCTCCCCAGTTTGCTGGCTAAGTGTACTGAGTAGCAGACCCAGCAGGCTTTAAGCCTGGGTCTCTTTGGTTGGAAAGCAGGCTCCTCTCCCCATCTCCCTCCTACCCTGGGATCTGTGGTGGGCCTCACCCACGCCCCTGTTCCCTACTGCAGGAAAGATGAGCCCTGGCACCCAATGGGACGAGGCCCGGGCCCAGCAGCCCATGGATGGCCGGCCTGTGCGAATCGCCTACATGCTGGTGGTTCATGGCCGTGCTGTGCGCCAGCTGAAGCGGCTCCTCAAGGCCGTCTACCATAAGCAGCACTTCTTTTATATTCACGTGGACCAGGTACGGGAGTTGGAGGAGGACCCAGGCTGACTGGACAGCAGAGCCATGGAAGGTCACATGACTCAGTTCCAGTGGCCTAGAGATGGGGGAGCAGCCACCCACAAGGTGGCACAGTGTGTTAGGAGCTGGTATTGGCCTCGACTTTCCTACATCCAGGGTGATGGGGTAGGTTTGTACTGCTGGGACCCCACCTGCTAAAAGTACCCTCTTCTCCTCCAGCGCTCCAACTACTTGCACCGGGAGGTGGTAGAACTGGCCCAGCAATACGAGAATGTGCGGGTGACACCTTGGCGCATGGTCACCATCTGGGGCGGGGCCAGCCTCTTGCGCATGTACCTGCGGAGCATGCGGGACCTGCTGGAGGTGCCTGGCTGGACCTGGGACTTCTTCATCAACCTCAGTGCCACCGACTATCCAACCAGGTATGGAGAGGGGAGCCAGGCTCTCCCAGCTGTGTTTAGGGGAGAGGACTGGGGATTACAAGAGCTGGAAACAGGGGAGGGACCAGAGGTCTGTCCCTGGATTTCCACATCAGACAAGGGTGGTTGAACAATGGGCCCACTACTCCAGAGCACCAGACAGGGCCAGAGCACATGTCCATAGCTCTCAGGAACAAAGTTACAGTGAAGGTCAAAAGTGCTGGGTAGAGTCTGCCCAGGGCCAGTGACCGAGCATCTGCCTCTCACGCAGCCGTGTCACCATCCTCATTCTCTTGCCAGGACCAATGAGGAGCTGGTGGCATTCCTGTCCAAGAACCGGGACAAGAATTTCCTCAAATCACATGGGCGGGACAATTCCAGGTGAGGGGCTTTGGAGGAGGCCCTGGGGCTGCTATCTTGTCACAACTCCTCCTTCACAGCCCCACCCTGGGTTACAAAATCACCAGCGTAATCCCACAGGGAACCCCGACTGCCAGGCAGGACCCTCAGCCTTTCCGGCTCCCCCCCAGGTTCATCAAGAAACAGGGACTCGACCGGCTCTTCCATGAGTGCGACTCGCACATGTGGCGTCTGGGCGAGCGGCAGATCCCCGCGGGCATCGTGGTGGACGGCGGCTCGGACTGGTTCGTACTCACACGCAGCTTTGTGGAGTATGTGGTGTACACCAACGACCCGCTCGTGGCCCAGCTACGCCAGTTCTACACCTACACGCTGCTCCCTGCTGAGGTGGGCGACTCGGGCGGGTGTGAGAACTGGGCTGGGCGGGACCCGCAGCAGCTCACTCACTCTCTCCCCGACCCCACCCTCTCCCCTGCCACCCTGCAGTCCTTCTTCCACACGGTACTGGAGAACAGCCCAGCCTGTGAGAGCCTTGTGGATAACAACCTGCGGGTTACCAACTGGAACCGCAAACTGGGCTGCAAGTGCCAGTACAAGCACATCGTGGACTGGTGCGGCTGCTCCCCCAATGATTTCAAGCCTCAGGACTTCCTACGGCTGCAGGTGCGGGCCTGTGGCTTCCCACAGGCTGCCTCTAGCTAGGCCTTCACCCTGACTCACCACTGCAAACTCTGTAGGTTCAGAAAAGCAGGAGGGAGCAGTCAGTCTGGGGGGTGGAGGGAGGTTGTGCCTTTGGGTCTGGGGCTGAAAGAGCAGTGGGGAGAGCTCAGGGGGTGGCCTTCAGGCAGTGCTGGTGAGGATCCTGGGCCTGTAGCATTTTGACCTTTCCTGTCTTTCCTCCCTCCAGCAAGTATCCAGACCTACCTTCTTTGCCCGGAAGTTTGAATCCACCGTGAACCAGGAGGTCCTGGAGATCCTGGACTTTCACTTGTACGGCAGCTACCCTCCCGGCACACCAGCCCTTAAGGCCTACTGGGAGAACATCTACGATGCAGCTGATGGCCCCGGAGGGCTCAGTGACGTCATGCTCACCGCTTATGCCTCCTTTGCCCGCCTCAGCCTGCGCCATGCCGCCACCGCCACCCCACTCTGCAGGTGAGACCTCTCTCCAGACATAGAATAGGGTCCCAGGGTGCCCCTACTACAGGGATGCCAATCAGAAGGAGAACAACCCCTGCCCACAGCCAGTCCTCTTCACCTCCACCCCCATTCTGAGGCAGACAGATGTGAAAACAAAAAAGAAAAGTTGAATGAAGGGAGGCAAGGGTCAGGTGCATAGGGGGGATGGGAGCTGAGATTGGGGCAAAGGAAGTACCTGGGGCTGGGACTCCCCCAGTAACCCTTTTCCTGGGACTCGGGCTGGATTGGGTGTGCTGATGGCGTCTCCCTTTCTCCCCGCTGGAACCTTCTTAGGTTTGAGCCCAGGGGCTCGCCGTCCAGCGTGCACCTGTATTTCTATGACGACCATTTCCAGGGCTACCTGGTGACGCAGGCGGTGCAGCCCTCAGCCCAGGGGCCGGAGGAGACACTTGAGATGTGGCTGATGCCCCAGGGGTCGCTGAAGCTGTTGGGGCGCAATGACCAGCCCAGCCGGCTCCAGAGTTTGGAGGTAAGACAGGTCATCCCCTTGCTTTCTCCTGAGCACCCCCACAGTGCTGCTTCCAAAGAGGGTAGTGGGAGAGGGGGCCCCCTGGGGAGGGTGAGGACCCTGTCAGGCCTTCATGCACTGGGGTTTCTGGTTCTTCTTGCCTTGTGTAGATGCCACCTACAGGTGCACCTGTGTCACTCTCTGCAGGCACATTCTGGGGAGCACACAGGACATGCAAGGGGTAAAGGAGGAGTTGTCAGCGCTACTACACCCTATATCTGGGCCTCAAGCTGCAGTGATTTCTTTTTAAGGGATGGGACATCCCCGGGTCGGAGGGAAAGCTGTTTTAAATGTTGCCCCTGTATCTTCAGCTTCATGTGGCAGTACCCTCTGTACGGGGCCTCGAACTTCATCTCCTTTTCCCCACCATGGGAAGGCAGCTCAGGATGGAAGCCAAGGGCCAATGTCCGAGCTGGGAGAGAGCAGTAATGCTCTCTTAGTCTGACCTCTTTGTTTCGCAGATGGGGAAACTGAGGCCCAGAGACAGTGACAGGCCTGAGGGTGCCCAGTGAGAGGCAGTGTCAGAGAAGGACGTGCCCCGGGCTCCTGTCCTACTGCCTCCCTCCCTACAGGTCGGCACCGAGTGGGATCCCAAAGAGCGAATTTTCCGGAACTTTGGGGGGTTGATGGGGCCATTGGATGAGCCCGTAGCCATGCAGCGCTGGGCCCGCGGTCCAAACCTCACGGCAACTGTAGTGTGGATTGACCCGACCTATGTGGTAGCTACGTCCTACGACATCACCGTGGATGCCGAGACTGAGGTGACGCAGTACAAGCCTCCGCTGAGCCGGCCCCTGAGGCCGGGGGCCTGGACTGTTCGGCTACTTCAGTTCTGGGAGCCTCTCGGCGAGACCCGCTTCCTTGTGCTGCCCTTGACCTTCAACCGCAAACTACCTCTCAGGAAAGGTGAGGACCTGGTTCCCAGGTGAGGACCAAAGCCAAATGTAAGGAGTCCCAGGGGTGGCAGCCCAGAGGTGTCCTGGAACCGGTGAAGTGGGGGAGCTCTGCCCCAGGCTGTGGCAGACAGGGGCACTTCAGAACCAGGTGGACTTGGGTGTGGAACAGAACTCTAACTTTACTGGGCTTTTGCTTTGGAAACAGCCTGGCCTTCCCAGGTCTCAAGCTTGTCAGAGTCAGAAGGAGATGCAGGCAGATCTGGGGGTGTTGCCTCCATACCCTCTGTGGATGAACCCTGGGCTTGCCCTCTGTCCATCTGTCTACATGTGGCCACATGGTGTGGAGGAAGCAGACCACAGGCTCTCTGCATCCTGGCTGCGTGGCCTGCGGACAGCCTTTGTGACCCACCAGCCCAGTCACCTGCCTGTGCCTTGCGGCAGGCCAGCCTCACATGGTCCTCCACCCACTGGCTGGAGGCTCAGCATGCCGGCCGGCCGGGTTGCCGAAGGGCCTGAAGGACAGACCTCCTGCATCTCACAATCCCCCAGAGATGATGGGGATGAGGGTGTGGCGAGCGATGGCCAGTATGCAGTAGGTGTTTAATAGGTAGAAGTTGTCTTTTCCTACCACTTGTTAGAACAGGAGGGTGGTAAGGGGTGCTGCCATACCCCCAGCCCGCTGGAACTTCCAGCCTAGGGAGGAAGGCAGGTTAGGGGCCAGCTCCTCAGCAGGTGAGGACAGGGTTCCTGAGCTTCAAAATGAAGTTAGAAGAGGGTTTTAAGCAGGCCAGAGCTGCAGGGGTCCTGGTGCGGGAAGCAAACAGGCGGGGCTGGATGTGCAGGGATGTGGTGTCAGGACAGCTGGCAAGGCGGGTGCAAGGCTGAGCTGAGGCTTTGGAGGGCTCTGGGAGCCACTGACAGTGGTCAGGAAGGCAGGGATGTCCCAAACCAGATTGCTGCCAGATTTTCTAAAATTCACTATTTTATTTAGTCCCAAAGTGAGGAAATCAGGGTTGAACGCTATGGTTTTATAAAACTAACAGTGGTATAAGCACACAGAGTTCTTTGGATCACTACTGGGTCATTCAGGAAGAGGTGATTCAGAGGTAACAGGTGAGGGCAAAAGTGGGGTTCTGGGGTGCAACTTCTGTGCCCAGGCCTCCTGGGCTGGGCTGTGCTCACTTTGTGTTCCCCTTGCCCCCAGATGATGCCAGCTGGCTGCACGCAGGCCCACCCCACAACGAGTACATGGAACAGAGTTTCCAGGGCCTCAGCAGCATCCTGAACCTGCCTCAGCCGGAGCCAGTGGAAGAGGCTGCCCGGCGGCATGCGGAGCTCACAGGCTCCGAGCTTGAGGTCTGGACAGACAGCGAACTGAGCAGCTTCTGGTCTGTGGCAGGACTGTGTGCCACAGGCCCATCCACCTGCCCCTCGCTGGAGCCCTGCAGACTGACAAGCTGGAGCTCAATGTCCCCCGACCCCAAGTCAGAGCTGGGACCTGTCAAAGCAGACGGGCGACTCAGGTAGCAGGGCCCCAGCCAGCACCCCCGGAGGTCCGGGGAGAATTGCACCTTACAGACACTGGGTGGGGAGGGGGCCGTGCCCTCCTCCCACAGACAGGAGCCAGTGGCTCTGGTGGCACCCCCGTTTCAGCCATGGAGAACCTGCAGATTGGGCAGGGCGGGCTGAAGAGTGCAAGCCACTGGAGGCTTGGCAGGGATGGGGGAAAGAGGGCTCCTGCAACATTCCCTGCCCTGCTCTTCCTCCCCTGCCTCTCAAGTTTGTATTTTTTTAATTATTATTATTTAAAAAAAATGGACAGTGGAGGGAGGACCTCAAGACACAAGACGTGCAATAGGGTGGCAGCAGGGAGCAAGGACTTCTGGATCCCTGTGCTGTTGTTTGGGATGAGGTTGGGTCGGCCTCGTGCTCCAGGGCCTTGTCCCCGGGCATGGGTGGGTGGGTTTTGCAGCTATGCCCACCACCACCCCCCCAGTGGCTTGGGGGCCCAGAGAATGGCTTGGTGGTTTTTTGGTGGAGGGGGCACCACAGAGCTGGGCTCTTGTGGGACAGCCCCTCCTCGTGTAGCCAGGAGATGCTCAAGGGGGGACAGGACTCACTTTAGGCTTCCCAGCAGGAATTGGAGCCTTCCAGAGCAATGCACATTCATCCAGGGATGCCCAGGGTCACCCTGGAGGCATGAGCCCTTCTGAGCAGAGTCTGGGTGGGCTGTCAGGAGGAGCTGGAGCAGCATTGTGCCTGAAGCTCAGTGTCAAGTCTGAAATATGCAACAGAGGAAATATATCTCTATCTCTAAACACAGCCTCTGTGTCGTTCCTCCTGGGCGGCACAGGCCACCTCTGTGTCCTGGGCTTTTGACAGTCTGGCAGAAGTGCAGTTGCCATCCCCTGGAGAACCACAAGGGGGCGCAGCATCCATCTGACGGAGCTCCCTCTTCTGAGGGGCAGGCCAGCCCAGAGAGGGTGGGCGATTTTCTCAGGACAGAGTGACTCAAGCTTCGTCCTGCAGTGCCCCGGCCCAGCCAGCACTCCTTCACCTGTGCCTCCAGCCAGGCAGAGGTTCTGGTGATGTTCTGGCTTCAACATCACCAGGACACAGCCTGCCCTGTGGAGCACCGTCAGGGACACAAAGCAATCCTAGCATGGCCTGTGGTGGTTGTCACCAAGCTTATCCCCTTGGGGACAAAAGAGGTGGCTTGCATCCACAGCCACTGCTCTAGGATGCTAAAAAGCCCATCTCTCTCTCTCTTTTTTAAAGATTTATTTATTTTTATTGGAAAGTCAGATACACAGAGAGAAGGAGAGGCAGAGAGGAAGATCTTCCATCTGATGATTCACTCCCCAGGTGACCGCAATGTCCGGTGCTACGCCTATCTGAAGCCAGGAGCCCGGAGCCTCTTCCAGGTCTCCCATGAGGGTGCAGGGTCCCAAGGCTTTGGGTCATCCTCGACTACTTTCCCAGGCCACAAGCAGGGAACTGGATGGAAAGTGGAACAGCCGGGATTAGAACTGGCGCCCATACAGGATCCCGGCACGTTCAAGATGAGGACTTTAGCCACTAGGCCATCGCGCCGGGCCCAAAGCCCATCTCTTTTTATAAGGCTCAAATATGTGGGTCCCTACTACTCATGTGGGACACCCAGATAGAATTCCTTACTCCTGCCTTCTGCCTAGCCCAGCCATGGCTGTGGTGCCCATGTGAGGAATCAGCAGATGAAGATCTCTGTCTCTGCATTTCAAATTAAATTAAAAAAAATTTTTTTTGAGATTAAAAAAAAAATTAAAAGCCCATTTCCTGCTTCCTTCCCTGCATCACTCTCCACACCTCACTGCGAGCCAACGTGAGTTTATAGACCTCAGCATCCCTGTCATCCTGCCCAGGCCAAAGCCAGGAACTCACCCCAGACTCCCACAGCAGTGGCAGAGACTGTGTACTCGTCTGCTGCTTCCTGTTCTGCATTAGCAGGGGGCTGGGGTCAGGAGCAGAGCCTGTGATCAAGCCCAGGTATTGTCTGAGATTCTGGCGCCCCAGACAGCATGGGACAGCCCAACCACCTGCCTCAGGTCATTTCCCTAGTGGCCAGGAGAGGGCACTCTTGACCATCGGTAACAGCCCAGGGCACCTGTTTTTTGGCTGACGTGCCCACCTTGTATACACTATCTCAGGCCTCTGGGGAACATGCAGCCTGCGAGCCAGTCAGATCATCTGGCCTGGCCCTGCCAAGGCACCCACAGGTGGGTCTCAGAATTCGCATCAGGCTAGTTTGTAGGCTGACGGTCTTGTGTGGCCTACAAATCATGGTATAAGTGGCCACACGGCCCTTGCCAGAAAAAGATTCCCCAGCCCTGCCAGGGGAGCAGGCACTTTTATTGTGTTCATTGTGCAGATCAGGAAACAAGCTTTGAGCACTGAAAGGAGGCCTGGCTAAATTCTCATCTTTCACGTGCCAGGATACTACCTGGGCACCAATTTGTGTCCTGGCTGCGCCACTTCCTTTTCAGCTCCCTGCTTGTGGCCTAGAAAAGCAATAGAGCATGGCCCAAGGCATTGAGACCCTGTGAAAGACCATGTGAAAGACCTGGAAAGAAGCTCCTGCTCCTGGCTTTGGAGCAGTTCAGTTCCAGTTGTTGCTACCATTTGGGGAGTGAACCAGTGAATGGAAGATTTTTCTCTGCTTCCTCTGTCAGTCTGCTTTTCCAATAAAAATAAATCTTTAGGGGCCCAGCACTGTGGTCTAGCAGCTAAAGTCCTCACTCTGAATGCACCAGATCCCATATGGGTGCTAGTTCATGTCCCGGCAGCCCTGCTTCCCATCCAGCTCCCTGCCTATGTCCTGGGAAAGCAGTCAAGGACTGCTTTGGGATCCTGCACCCACATGGGAAAACTGGAAGAGATTCCAGTCTCCTGGCTTCAGATCGGCGTAGCTCCAGCAGTTGTGGCCACTTGGGGAGTGATTCAGCAGACGAAGATCTTCTTCTCTGCCTAACTTTCCAATAAAAAAATAAATCTTTTAAAAAACAAAAAGGAGGCAGCCGAGTCATGGTTGGCAGTGAGGTGGTGACAACAGGCTTCAGATGGGATAGCGTCCAGAGGCAGTGTCGATCACTGGGCTGTTCTCAGGCCTGCTGGATGGGCAGCAGAGTAGCGACAGCAAGCACCCTGAGGCACGCAGTTGCCTTCTCAGACCACGATGGTGACTTTCTGGCTGCCGTTCTAGTGATCGGTGGTACTCTGGTTTTCCAGACTTTTTAGCTTTTTTGTTTCCCAAGCCCAACTCGGATCAATACAAAGGACAAACAGCTAGGGGTCAGCATGTCAGGCGCAGGCAGTAAACAGAAGCTCTGGGCCACGCTGGTATGGAGTTCGCGCAGCAGCCAGTGGGGATCAGCTGTTCTCACTCTGCCTTCATTCATTTTGGCAGGACGTGACCTTATTTCCACCCCTGCCATCCTCCTGTACACTAGGTCCTGGTTGCACATTATTGTCATTCATGCTGAGATTCCACATTAACTAGTAGATCAGTCTTGAGTGCATCATGAAGACACATAGGGGCGGAGCTTCTCTGCCTGAATTTCTGGCAGTGTTCCCTACCCATCTTTCTGGAGGGTTAGCTCAGCCAAGAGCCTTGGGTTTTTCAACCTTCTTTGAATCCTCCCAATCAAGGCGCCTGAGGTTAACAGCAGGATTCAGGCCAGCTGGGGTACAATGTAGGGTTGGGGAGGGAGTTCAGGCAGGCTGGGCCCCTGGAGCTGCACAATAATTGGACGGAAGGGAGCCTGGGCAGAGGTTTTTGTATTATGTGGCCTGTGTGCCCGGTTTCCAGGGCAACTATGGACAGCCATTCCTTCAGAGAGGTGGGAACCCTGACCAGAGGAGAGCCAATTGGCACACAGTCCAGCTATACTGGCCAATGAGAAGTGGAGGTGGGCAGGGAACAACTGGGAGGGGTTCTGGGGCTGGGAAGTGCAGAAATGTAGCAGGGTCAGGGCTCCCTGGGCTGCCAGAATCAACAGAAGCCAGCCTCTCCCTGCCAACCCCAACTCCTGAAGATGGTAGAGCGACCCTCATAGCTGCCAGGCACACAGGGGGCAGTGCCATCCAGGGGACACTGGGCCATGTGAAGTGCTGACCAGGACAAGCAGGGGCAGGAGGCTGAGAATCTAGAGAGCTGCTCACAGCTGTCCCAGCTCTGATGAATGAAACTGCTCTGGGCCAGGATGCCATGGTTGTGGGGTGTTGGGGGGTAGTAACGCCATGACCCTGCTGGCTGCCCATGCCTCTGAGGGCACCCTGTACCACTGCTTCTGAGTGTGCAGCATCATCCTGGACAACAGCCTCCTGGTGAGTAGCCGGTGCCCTGTCAAGTCCCCAGGTTAGGGCCAATCCACCGCTGGGCCCTCAATACTGGCCTTCTAGAAGCCCAGTGTCAAATTCTAGCAGCAGTCTGTCATAGCAGGAGAGGGCTGCTGGCCACCAGGGGTTAAGTCCAGGCTTTCGGGTCATCTCCTTCCCCTTCCTAACTCTCCTAGTGCCACCATGCACAGCCTGACCTTGACTCCTGAGGGTACAAGAGGGCAAGTGGCAGTGAGACCCTCAAACTCAAGCTGTCTCTTCTTCCCCTTCTGGGAAATGGAACCAAAGCAAATCCCTCTTCCAAACTCCCTCTCCTCTGCTTGATCGATTGGCCCTGTCCTGCCTGGCTCCCTGCTCGGCACGCATAAAGAACACGGGTAACGACCAACAGAACGCTAGGCAGCTCATCAGGGTTTATTCTGAACCTGCAGACTCGGGGTCACTTCGTTTCTTCTACAGGGTCTCTCGGCAGGCACTCTGGAGTCCCCTGCAGTCACAGCCAGCAGGCCCCTTTAGGGACAATTTGTAGTCACCTGAACTGCTGACTTCTGGTGACGCCTTCGCCACCAGAGCTTTAGTCTCTGTCCGCTGGCCTCCCCCAGGATCTCAGAGCATTGCTACTAGTTTAAAGGTACCCTCAGGCTTGGCAGGCACCACATGGACAAAAGTTTTATAGAGCACAGCCCCCCTGGGCAGACTGGTGACCAGATCCACAGCCTCGGAGTTGCTGGGGCTGGGCACGTAGACCTCCTTCGTGTAGCGGACGATCCCCTCCTCCAGCGCATACAGGCACTTCTTCTTGCCCAGGCCCACCTGCAACACACAGAGGCCATCAGGTGCAAGTAGGGCCGGTGGCCACCACAGGGCTTCAGGACAGACTCCTCCCACAGACCCAGCCCTGGGACTGAAGGGGCCATCAGAATGCTCCATCTCAGGTTCCTCCCATTGCTTGGCATCTCCTTGTTTCCTGCTGTTTTTACTGGCTCCTAATAGGAAGAACAAGAAAACTCCAACAGCCAAATCCTCGGGGCTGCCCACTCCCTGAGGGCTGATGCCTGCAGCCAGGTCTATGTAGTCAGCCAAAAGCCATACTGGACAGATCCCCAAACCAGACCCAGCAAGATGGCCTCAATCACTGCCCCGGGCAGCTTACTTTATTAAACCTAGAGATGCACACTGGCCTAGCATGCAGGAAGCTGGCATCCCATACCAGAATGCCAGTGTTAGATGTCTTCCTCTGGCTCCCAATTCCATTTCTCTGCCAATGTGGTTAAGATCATCCCTATTTGGCAAATGAAAAAGCTCAGCAACAGGGAAGGAATGTAACTTGCTCAGTATCATGCAGTCCCAAGTTCCCCACTCCTGGCTTCAGGCCCACAGGCCCACAGGTATTTGGGAAATGAACAACTGGATGAGTGTCTTGACTCGCTCTAGAAGTGTCACATTAAATATTAGTCTGACATGCATTTGTATTCACATAAAGTTTAGACCCCACAGAAAAAACACATCAAAATTATATGAATATTGCATTTATATGCTAATAAAATATCATCAGCTAACATAAGAGTAGAGTGCTTACGACATATAAGCACTTCTGCTTTTATATAAGTTAACTCATTTAATCCTCACCTAGTGAAACAGGGACTATTTCCAACCCTGTTTGCACATGAATCCAGAGCTCAAGTCAATTGTGTATTGTCCATGTGGTTTTTAAACACTACCTGTTTCAGCATTTAACATTTAGCACTTGAGACTGGATCTGTGGCCACTTTCACCCAGGTAGTCCAGTACTACTCCGTTCTCTCCAGTTAAAATGCTTCACCTCCCATCCAGCTCCCTGCTGATGCACCTGCAACGCAGTGGAGGATGGCCCATGGCTTTGGGCCCCGGCACTCATATGGGAGACCCAGATGGGACTCCTGGCTCCAGCGTGGTCTTAATATTTGTGGCTTTTTAGGGAGTGAACCAGAAAGTGAACATGTTTCTCCTCTTTTTCTCTGTAACTCTCTCTTTCAAATTAACTACTTTGTAAAATCATCTGAGGGATAAAGGGGTTAAGAGCCACACAGAGCTTAAAATGCCACCCGTTCTACCTGTCCCCATGGCAAAGCTAGCTAGCATGCCTGGCTTATACTGAAAGTTTTCACCTATCTCAAAACATATTAGTTTTTGCTGTTGTTACTTTAGCAAGTGTCAGGAGTTAAAGTCACAGGCCTGGCACAGTAGCCTAGTGGCTAAAGTTCTTGCCTTGCATGCACTGGCATCCCATCTGGGTACCAGTTCTAATCCCGGCAGCCCCACTTCCCATCCAGCTCCCTGCTTGTGGCCTGGGAAAGCAGTTGAGGACGGCCCAAAGCCTTGGGACCCTGCACCCAGTCTAGGAGACCAGAAGAGGCTCCAGACTTTGGATCCGCACAGCTCTGGCCGTTGCGGCCACTTGGGGAGTGATTCAGTGGATGGAGGATCTTCCTCTCTGTCTCTCCTCCTCTCTGACTTTCCAATAAAAATAAATATATCTTTAAATAAATAAAAATCTTTTTAGAAAGTTAAAGTCACACATTCAATGTCTTTAGGTTCCAGAGATAAAGCTACTACATACACAATCAATTCACATATAAACTAGTAACTTCCAAATAATTATAAATTACTAACAACCTGTCTGTGTCTTCTAAAATGCCAAAAGGGATAACGGGAGAAGTAACTACAAATGGAACTTAACAAGTATTTAAACTTGTTTTTGTTGTTTGTTTAAAGATTTATTTTTATTGGAAACAAGATTTATAGAGAAGGAAATACAGAAAGCTTCCATCACTGGTTCACCCCCATATGGATTGGCCATAGCTGAGCCAATCCAAAGCCAGCAGCCAGAAGTCTCTTCTGGGTCTCTCACATGGGTGCAGGGTCCCAACGCTTTGGGTCATCCTCTACTGCTTTTCCAGGCCACAAGCAGGAAGCCGGATGGAACTGGAGCAGCCAGGATACGAACTGGTTCCCATATGGGACCCTGGCGCATGCAAGGTGAGGACTTAGAGCTTTCCATGCCTTTCTTGTAACTTTTATTTTTTGTATTGTGGAAAAAAAAGAGTTACAAGAAAGGCATGGAAAGGAAAATGTCTTCCAGGTGCCAAGTATTTAAACTTTGTGAAGCAGGGGATGGTACTGTGGTACAACTGGTTAAGCCACCTCGTAGAATGCAGACATCCCATATCAGAGCCCTAGTTCAAATCCCAGCTGCTCCATTCCACTCCAGCCTTCTGCAAAGGTGCCTAGGAAGTCTGCAGATAATGCTCTGCCACCCACACGGGAGACCTGAACGCTGTCCCTGGCTCCTGGCTTCAGTCTCACCCAATCCTGGCTGTTGTGGTCTTTTGGAAGTGAATCAGCAGAAGGAGGTTTCTCTGTCACTCTGCCTTTGAAATAAATAGATCTTTTAAAAATTAAAATAATGTAAGGCAGATAGTACCATTCTGTCATTCTGTCCTAACAAAGAACTTTTCTACCTCTAAAGCAATCCCAATTCTACGTGGTAGGGAACTGATTTCTGACACATACTGAATCCTATTTTATTAAATCCAAGTTATCTTTCCACCATCTAATAAGAAGTTTAAGCAAAGGAAGGATTTGTAGAAATAATGAAAAATGTCAAGACACTGAAATAAGTTTCCCAAGAGTCCAAATATATTTCCATCACTAAACATCCTGGCCTCCAGGACCCGAGGCTCAGCAGGAAGAAAAAGAACCGCAGGCTGCCAAGGGCTGAAGTAAAACAGGAAGGCTTCTGCGGCACTGTGCTGGGTACTGCGTTGTGTTGCTTTTAGCAGAAGAAAAAAACATCTGATTCAGGGCTAGTGCCATAGTGTAGTAGGCTAATCTACCTGCAAGCACCAGCATCCCATGTGGGTGCCAGATCATGTCACAGCTGCTTCACTTCAAATTTGGCTCCCTGCTTGTGGCCTAGGAAAGCAGTCGAGGACGGCCCAAAGCCTTGGGACCCTGCACCCGCATAGGAGATCAGGAGGAAGCTGCTGGTTCCGGGCTTCAGATCGGGTCAGCTCTGGCTGTTGCGGCCGCTTGGGGAGTGAACCCTTGGATGGGAGATCTTCCTCTCTGTCTCTCCTCCTCTCTGTATATCTGCCTCTGCAATAAAAATAAAGAGTCATGCCTACTTTATGAAAACGGCATCCCAATAAAGCAGTATGACCAGGAACAAAGCAGATGGTTGCAGCCAGGCATGGCTTCTCCATGCGCAGGCAGTGGCAGCTACTCTTCACATTGTTACGGAATCCATCTTTCACCCAGGAGAAAGTGAGGCAAAGAATGTGTAATGAACTAAGGCTAGGTAACCCCTAGCTTTCACATGGGCCCTGTCACTCTCTGAGCCTCTGAAATTTCACCGTGATCTAAGACGAGAATGGTACCCCACCCCTGAGGGACATGGGAAGGAGACACGAGGTTAAGCTGACATAGGAATCAGCCCAACACCTGCACCCAACAAGTGCAACAGCCGTTGTTGTTACTGTGCATAGGGGTGGGCAGAGGAGGGCTTAGAAAGGCAAAGTGGGGAGCCAGCGGGCAACTCACGTGGGCACCTGGATGCCAGCGGAAATGACGCTGAGTCCCAAGGATGTTGCCAACATGCACATAGTGACCTAGAAGAGAAGCCACCAGTGTGCCAACTCTAGGCCCCCAAATGCTGCCCACCAGCCTTGAAACGGGCCCCAACAGAGCTATATTAAGCAGCGCCCACCCCCATGCACACTGCTCCACTCCTCCTGAGGCCCCCACTCCCCCTCAGGCCCTATGTGCCCCTTTAACCTAAGTGAGCTGAGCTGAGAAGCCAGCCCCTTTGGGCTCCTAGCTCCCCTAAGGCAGCAGGGGCAGGGACAGGCGGGAAAGAGAAGCCCTCTACTCACCTTCCATTTTCTTGATGCCATAGTGCTTGCCTGGTGACTTGCCGCCCAGGTTCTTGGAGCTGCCGCCAGTCTTCTTGGAGGCGTACCGGACAGCAAGCGCTGCTGCAGGAGAGGGGCTCAGCAGAGCTGTGGCTGTGGAGGAAACAAGCCCCAGCCCATGGGCTCTGAGAGAGCCTCTCCAGGCCTTGGCAGACTCACCACTAAGCTGACAGGTGGCAGGGGATGCAAGATGGATGTGTGGGGAGAACAGAAGCACCTCCTGGGTGTGCTGAAACGCCTGCCAAGGCAGAGGTCAACCCACTGCTTATCTGGCAAGGAATGAGTGATGCATGAGGCATGTCAGGGTGGTGAAATGGAATAGAGAACACACCACGTGTTCTGAGTCCTGGCACGTTTGGGCCTGCTAAGGAGAAACGAGCCCCATGGCAACAGAAGCAGCTGGCTGGAGGATACGGCCCCATGTCTTGTCAGACCTTCAAGCCTCATGCACAAATCAGCCTTGGGATACCAGACAGGCTTCTGCTTAACCTCACCCATCACCTCCTTTGCAGTACACTCCCCCAGCACACCTGCCAGCTACCTAAAGGGCAGCTGGCCTCAGGGTGACTCCCATAGGCCCCCAGCCATTTCAGAAGGTGAGACCCTGTCTTCCCAGAGCACCCCAGGCAGAGCAGAAAGAGCCATGGAGCAGGCACTCGGGATGCCTGCTCCCATATTAAGATGTCTGCACCTGAGTTGCCCACTGCTCTGCAGGTGGAGCTTAACCACCTATCCACAATGCTGGCCCCAAGGGGGCAGAGCTTAGAGGGGAACATACAATGCCTATCTAGGCATGACAAGCCTAAGATGGCCTCTTGGGCTCTCTTGAAGCCAGGAGTCTGAAACTAAAACCAGGTCTCCCACAGGTGCAGGGATCCAAGCATTTGGGCCATCATCTGCTGCTTTCCCAGGTACATTAGCAAGGAACTGGATAGCAAATGAAGCAGCCAGGATTCAAACCAGCATCTACATGGGATGCCAGAGCTGCAGCCAGAGGCTTAACACACTGCATGACAGCACCAGCCCTGGGATGTGGCCTTTACCTGTATTATGTCACTCATGAATCTCAAGTGCAAGGCCACGGGGTACTCCTTGGCTAAACCATCACTCTTAAGGCTTACTATTATGGCTTCTGTCTGACATTTTCATTTTCACCTCTACTCCTTTCTCCTTTTTAAACTCTTATTTTTATTGAAAAAGCAGATTCTACAGAAGGATTTTCCATCCACTGGTTTATTCCCCAAATGACTGCAATGAACGCCGATCCGAAGCCAGGAGCCTCTTTCGGGTCTCCCACATGGGTGCAAGGTCCCAAGGCTTTGGGCCATCTTCGACTGCTTTCCCAGGCCACAAGCAAGGGAGCCAGATCGGATATGGAGCAGGTGGGACTAGAACTGGTGTCCATATGGGATGCTGGTTCTTGTAGACAGAGATTGGCTACATGAGTCACAGGGGCAGCCCTACATCTATACCCCTTTAAAGTTACATAAAAATTTGCTTCTTAAAATGCAAAACTGGGGGTCACCCCACACAGCTGACACCTGCAAAGCGGGCATGCCATTTGGTTGTGCCACTGGAATCCAATTACTTCTCTCAGGATCTGGCTCCATTAATGGCGTGGGAAAGCAGTCGAAGATGGCTCAGATGTCTGGACCCCATGTTAGAGACCAAGGACACTCCTGGTTTCAGCCCTGCCCACTGGGGCCACTCGGGAAGTGAACTAGCGGATGAAAGACCTTTCTCTCTCTGCTTCTCCTTCTCTGTAGTTCTGGCTTTGAAAATAAATGTCTTTTAAAAACACAGATAAATCTGGCTCAAGTCACTCCCCTGCTCCTCCAGGGAGAGGCCTTCAGCCATTTGGGGGGGTGTTACTACCTTATCCGTGTCTGTTTACCCACTAGAGCCATCCATAGGGTACCGAGAATGTCTCGATGTTTTTCTGTGTGCATTTCCAGCTCCCGCCAGGGTCTGGGACGGAATTAAACTTCCCTACGCTGAACGGCAGACTAAAGTATCCACGTCACCGCCAGCCCGGATCGGGAAGGCGCTGTGCCCGGTCACCGGCCGCCAGGGAAGCCCGCGCCCCAGGGCAGGAGTGCCGCCACGCCATGCTCCTCCGGCGACCACTTCCCCGCCCACCACACGGCGCGGCCGCCATCAGGCTCCCCATTCCCGCGCCGGGGTCCTCCGCGGGCCCAGGTCTCCACCTGCTCGGCGCCCCCTCCCTGACTACGTGGTCCCATTACCGGCCGCCCGCGTCCTCAGGGCCAGCATCGCCGCCGCCATGTTGGCCTTAGAGTCGCTTCCGGCCTTGGAAGCCCACCTCCGCAGCCGGGAGCTCTGCTTCCGGGTTCCGGGGAGCAGTTTGAACGAGTGGCGCGGGGATTTGCAGGTGAGCGTTTGGGTTCGGAGATTTCTACTCTGGGATTCCTCCCGCGGTGGAGGCTGCCGTTCCGAGCACCGCTCCGCTGGGGCATGGTGGCTGGGCAGGCTGACCCAGGGAGGGGCGGGAGCGTGCCCGGCAGGGCCCGGCGTGTCCCAGACCCTGGACACGGTGAGCGGGATTACGATGCCCAGAGCGGTAAATGTAGTGCCTGATTGTCACAGCCCTGTAAAGCTAATATTGTTGTTATCCCTGCTCTATCCAAGAAGAAGCAGGCTGGGGATTACGCCTACCCTGTTAGTACATATTTTGTTCAAAAGAAGGCGCCTTGGGTATGACCCAGCTAGTCCAGTCCTGAGCACATATGCAAGAGAATTGAGGACTGGCCGCCAAAAGCACTTGTAGGCCAGTGTTCATAACCTCATTGCTCATAGTTAAACATGGAAGCAAACCAGGTGTCTCTAGGGTGTGGAAATGAAATGTGGTATAGTCATTATTCCACCATAAAGAGTAATACGGGCTAGCCCACACTGCAACACAGATGACCCTCCAAAATATGGAAGAGCCACGTGATGTGTGAGTCCCCTTTAAAATGAAATATACAAGATGCACAGATCCATAGGCAGTGGATTTGTGGTTGCTAGGGGTTGAGGGGAGAGCGAGAATATGCAACCACTGCTAAATGGCTTTTAAAGTGTTGAAAATGTTCTGGAATTAGTGGTGGCAGTTACATAATATGGTAAACAGATTAGCACTGTTGGAGTGTGTGTTTAAAAAGGATGAATCAGTTTTCTGTTTAAATATTTGTTTTGAAAGGCGGAACAACAGAGTGGGAGAGACAGAGAGAAATTTTCCATCTGCTGATTCACTCCGCAGTTGGCCGCAGCATGGTCTGGGCCAGGCCACAGCAGTAGCCAGGAACTTGTCCAGGTTTCCCATGCAGATGGCAGGGCCCAAGTGCCTGGGCTGCCTCCTGCCTGTCCAGGAGTCAGTAGCAGGGAGTTGAATTTGCAGTGGAATGTTGGCAGTGCAGTGACCCCAAAAGAGAAATGTTAGATTACACAGTTTAGAACTTTTTTTTTAAGGTTTATTTTTATTGGAAAGGTAGATTTATAGAGAGAAAGAGAGACAGATCTTCCACTCACTGGTTCACTCCCCAAATGTCCACAACAGCTAAAGCTGAACTGATTCGATCCAAAGCCAGGATCCCCCTCAAGGTCTCCTATGCAGGTGTGGGGTCCCAAGGCCTTGAACCATCCTTTGTTGCTTTCCCAGGCCACAAGCAGGGAGCTGGATGGGAAGTGGATCATCCAGGACACGAACCAGTGCCCATATTGGATGCTGGTGCTTGCAGGGGAAGGATTAGCCATTTGAGCCATGGCGCTGAACCCTTACATCTATTTCTTTTTAATTTTATTTTTGATAATTTTTACATAGTTGATTAGGATGAAAAGGGTCAAGGGCTAGAGGAAAGTGGGTGGGAGCATTGTTTTCATTCTTTTGTCCTTCCAGTGTCTGGGGTAGAGGGGAGACGGGGCAAAGCCACACCCAGCCTCCCCACCATTCCAGTGTGCCCAATGTGAGGCATGCTCCGAGGGTTCCACTCAAGTGGTTTTTTGTTTGTTTGTTTTAAGAGTTAGTTTTATTGGAAAGGCAGATTTACAGAGAGGAAGGTCTTCAATCCAATGATTCATTCCTCAAGTGGCTGCAATGGCCAGAGAGCTGAGCCGATCAGGAGCCTGGAGTCTCTTCCAGGTCTCCAGCCCAGGTACAGAGTCCCAAGGCTTTGGGCCATCTTTGACTGCCCTCCCCCAACCCTTTTTTAAATAAAAGCTAACCATTGGGCCCCAGCACAGTGGCCTAGCAGCTAAAATCCTTGCCTTGAACGCGCTGGGATCCCATATGGGCACCGGTTCTAATCCCTGCAGCCCTGCTTCCCATCCAGCTCCCTGCTTGTGGCCTGGGAAAGCAGTTGAGGACGGCCCAAAGCCTTGGGACCCTGCACCCATGTGTGAAACCTGGAAGAAGCTCTGGGCTCCTGGCTTCAGATTGGTACAGCACTGGCCGTTGTAGCTACTCAGAGAGTGAACCAGCAGACAGAAGATCTTCCTCTCTGTCTCTCCTCTTCTCTATATATCTGACTGCAATAAAGATAAACAAAAATGTTTAAAATAAAAACTAACTTTTGACATCTTTGTTTCCAAGAGAGAGATCAGGAGGCTGGTGATAAGTGTTGTTGATAGGTCAGTGAGGTTTTGTAATAGTATCCCTACTTGGTTTAAACCTCTGTGTCTACTGAGGAAAGATTGGATGGTGCTTCCTGTCACACCACAGATGCAGCTGTTCTGGGTTCCGGGAAGGCTGTGTTGGGGATCTACTCTTTCTTTGCTCCTCATATTTTATAAGGCTCAAACACAATTGCGTGCCGGGGTCCTTATCTCCTCTCCTTTGCTTGTAGGGGATCCATGCACACAGCACGCAGCGATGGCTGTGAAGAGGTCATCACCGTCACTGCAGGGCAGGGAGAGTGACTCCGAGGAGGAGCTGCCCACATTCTCCTTTCTGAAGAGGCAGCCACTGAGGCAGGAGAAGGTCACAGTGGTTGTCACCTCAGACTCTGAGGGCTCCTGTCCACCATCGCCAGAGTCTCTGGGTCTGTCCCCTGGCCCGGTCGCAGCAGAGACGGGGCTGCAATCAGAGGCAGTCCTGGTGTCCAGCAGTGACAGTGAGGAGGGGGAGGAGCTGATTCCCTTGGCTGACAGACTCACGTGTAAGTTTGTGACCCGCCAGCAGCTGAGCCCTGAGGACTCGAGTTCAAACGCCTTGATTCATCGGAGTCATGAAGGAGCATCATGTGACTGGGGAAACCAGCCCTTCTGGAAGAGCCTGGATGCTCCCTTCATTGGCACTTCAGAGAGGAACGCCTCCAGTGACAAGGACCGTCCACGCCATCAGCCTCCAGCCCACCAGCCCACGCGCCCCACACAGACCAGCAGCTTGATGGCAACCAAGGCGACTCCTGACATCCCCTTTCCCCAGAGGACTGCCAGGTGTAGTAAGAAGATGCAGGGACGGCCGCAGCCGCAGGGACCACGAGTGAGCCGGAAGGAGAGCCCCCCGAGGAGGCAGGAAGGAAGGAAGAAGGCAGTGGCGCCAGTTAGCAGGCCAAAGGTCCTAAGACCAGAGGAATGCTTGAAGCACATGCTTGTGGTGCTAGACCCAGGTCCTGCCAGCACCCCGTCCTCCCCATCCCCACCCGGAGCTGTGGTCTCTACGTGTGGGCCCCTCACTGACAGCCCCTTTCCCATCCGCCGCAGAGCTGCTGCAGACGGAAGGCGGGGGCCAGGTGCTCGGCGCGCTGCAGTCCATGGAGTGCCGCTGTGTGATCGAGGTGCAGGCCGTGCCCTGCAGTGTCACTTGGAGAAGGGCTGGGACAAGTGAGGTATGGTTTTCCAGCTGACAATCTGAGAGGCCCCAGGTTTGAACAAGTGAGGGCTGAGGAGGGACAGGATCCCAAGTGGTTGTTTCCTGTCACCATGACTGCATTTGAGAAGAAAAATAGAATGCTCAATAGTCATGCACCCATTCGATCACACAGCAGGCTGGGGCACTCTCACAGGTGTTGTAGGCCGGCTGACATCTCTCCATGCACTGTGTCTGGTCCATTGGCAGGATGGAGAGGACTGGATGGAGGAGCCAATGGTGCTGGTGTTGCTGCTGGCAGAGGCGTTTGTGTCCATGGTCTACAATGTTAAGCAGGTGGGCAGAGCCCGAGGGCTGGGAGCTGAGTGTGAAGTGGTATGCCACTTGTAGCTGGGAGCATGTGTTAGTGCTGGTCCTGCCCCTTGCAGGGAATTCTGGGCAGCACCGAGAATGCGAAGGAGACACTTCAAGGCTTTGTCACAGACATTACAGCAAGGATGGCGGGAAAAGCTCTTTGTCTGGTGATCCTGGATCAGGAGAAACATTTCAGGTTTGAGTTTGCCCAGGAGATGAATTGTTAACTGGGGACAAGACATTGGCCTGGCTGCTTGGCGTGCTCGCATCCCCTATCCAGGAGTCAGGGTTCAAGCCCTAGCTTTGCTTCAAATTTCAGCTTCTTGCTGATGTACACGGGAGGCTCAGATGGTTGGATCCAAGTCAGACTTGGATTGAGTTCTGGGCTCCTGGCTTTGACCCAGTTCAATCCTGGCTATTGTAGACATTGGGAGAATGGCTAGCAGATGGGCACTCTACCTCTCAAATAAGTAGCTTTTTTTTTTCCCCTAAAAGGGGGCAGCTCTTGGACTAATGCAGGTGAGTTTATTCACGCAGAAATGGGTGACTCAGTGAGACACACCCCCAAAAGTTCTGGTCCAGTCTTCCTGCCAGCCACCTCTACCCCCCCCCCTTTTTTTTTTATTGTGAGCATAGCCTACAGCTGCCTGTTTCTTTCATCCCTACTTCAGTGCCCAGAATCCACCGAAGAGAAGGAAACAGGTAGCAGCACGAAAACAGGCCAAGGAGAAGCAACAGCGGACACAGCCAGAAGCCAGCACAGGGCGTGTGGTGTCCCGGGTAGACGTGGAAGAGGTGAGAGCTTCCAGAGGGGAAGCGGAGGGGCTGGGCCGCAGCTGCAGGAATAGCAAGAAGGCTATCCCTGAGCTCCCTGCACCCCTGCAGTAGTCCGTCGTTGCTTTTGAGTTTCCAGGCTTTGGTGGATCTACAGCTACACACCAATGCCCAGGTTCGGATTGTGCAGAACTGGAAAGAGCTGGCCGACCTTGCCTGCGCATTCACAAAGGCTGTGGCTGAGGCACCCTTCAAGTGAGTGCCCCCAACAAGTGCAGCCTTTGTGCTGGGCCTTGCCCTGTACAATTCCTGCAGCCCCCCAAAATGTTTCTTTTCCCCAGAAATTTGCTGGCCCACTGTCTCAGGCTTGAGGCAGAAGCTGGCCTTCTGCTGGAGACGGTTGGGATGAGCAAAGCCCAGTCTTCTAAATATTCTCCTTTGCTAAAGTATGTGTTCTGCAGGTTGATGCTGGCTTTCCAGGACCTGCCATAGCTGAACACACTCCTGCAGTAAAGGACATTTCTGGCCTATTCAAGTCAGACTAAGAGACTTCAGACATAATCCTGTCCAAGTCCCTTATACCATCCTTAAGGAACTTAGGTCTCAAGCTTGACTTGTCCAGGTTCCTAGCAAGTCAGGAGAACCAGAAATACCCCACACAGCCTGCTATCTTGGTCCTTGTGCTTCCCCATGTGCATGGCCTCCCGGGGTAGTATAACATACCCCTCTCCACCATCACGCACCTCGCTTAATGTACAACAAAAGAATCCAGTCCCTGCTCTTCAAATGGAAAGGATCCAATACAGTAAGAAAGGCGTACTGTGGAAGGCCAGGACTTGGCCTAACATTGGGTGCACCTCTTCTGAGTCACCAGAGGGTCTTTTCAGTTCCCACTGAGGGGACAGATGTAGGAGAGGAGCGAACTGTTCACAGCTCTGCACCTGCACTGTCTGCAGGAAACTCCGAGATGAGAGCGGCTTCTCCTTCTGCCTGGAGAGTGACTGGGCAGGAGGGGTGAAGGTGGACCGTTCTGGCAGGGGACTCGCGCTGGTCTGGAGGAGACAGATTCAGCAACTGAACCGCGTCAGCCTGGAAATGGCCAGTGCTATTGTGGACGCCTATCTCTCCCCACAGCTGCTGCTCCAGGTATGCCACTCTGCAGGTCTCTGCTCAGTGCCCTGTGGTCTCAGCTTGGCTCTGTGGATCTGCTGACAGCCAAGTTGTTGGCCCACGGAGGGAGGACAACCTACGCCTGTTGCCCACCCTGCTCATGGTTGAGGAGGACCATAGATGGTTGGCTAACAAGAGGCCATTTATGGTTTTCAGGCGTATCAGCGGTGCTGCTCGGTGCAAGAATGCCAGAATTTGCTTGCAGATATACAGGTGCGCCGTGGAGAAGGTGTGACATCCACCTCGCGCCGGGTCGGACCGGAGCTGTCCAGACGGATCTACCTCCAAATGACCACCCTGCAGCCAGACCTCTCTCTAGACAGTACCGACTGATGCTACCCCTCAGTAACAAGGATGGCTTGCTTTGCCCTGGGGAGGCCCCAGGGGCCCTTCTCAGTCTCCTTGCTGGTGAGTTTCCCTATGTCAGCACAGCAGAAGGCTGCAATCCTTGCAATGACCTTCACAAGCACAGAATGTTCCTCCCCTGGCAGCAATTAACTGCCAGAGACAAACCACCCTGTCAGCCCACAAAAAAGGAACAAAGCACAGACCACTCAGACACATTTAATAATCATAGAAATCCAAAAGAATTGGCATGGACTCTTAGTCGTGAGTGAGCTGTCGCCTGTAGGTTGGCTTGACTAGACTCAGCCACTGAGCTGCCTCAACCAGCCAAGGAATGGGATTTGATGACTATGCTGACTGTATTGTCTTTATCTCACATATTATGTGTTTAGATTCAATAAAGCATTTGTACCAATGGCTCTGGAGCATGGAGGAAGACGCGAGGAATGTGTAGTGGTTCTGAGTAAGATATAGACCTACACAGCAGAGCTATCCTCAGGGGAGAAGAGAACAAAGGCCTTTCTTCCAGTGGCAGGACAGTGCTGCCCAGACAGGCCACTAGGGCTAACCAGTTGGACCCCACCCTCTTTATCTATGAACTCACAGGTTCTTGCTCCCTCTGGAGAGAAGCAAAAAGCTTACAGTGGGAGTTTCCAATGAGTGAGCACCATGGCAGTCATTTCTGATCCCTTCATCCAGCTGTTGTGAAAAGATGGTAGAGGTGAGAGAAAGCTGCCGCAGCAGACGGAAATAGACAGTGCTGCCCTTGTTTGTGCTGGTCACTAGGGAATGCACAGCTGTGCTGCTGTTTTCATTTTTCCCTTCAGCTACGGGCTGAGAATGGAGCAGTTCTAGATCTCAGTACCCAGGAAGCCCAGGCTGCAGGCTGCCGCTGAGGTATCAGGTCACTGTAGCTTTGCAGAAACCTGCCTCCTGGCCTCCTGGCCAGCAGAAAGTTAATGCTCCAAAACTCAGGCAAGGGGCCTGGACATTGCCATTTTACTGGAAGCCACCTAGGCCAGGGCAAGATTCCACAGGAGTTGCCCGGAAGTTCTGGTAACAGGAGATTTCTGTTAGTGATGACTGTCTGCCTTGAGTGTCTACACTGTTGTCAGACACACTCAACCCTGGGGTGAGTTCTGAAGAAAAAAGAGCTCCTGTCCTGACCAGAACTTCTGGTCCAGCAGAACCCAATAAATGAGGCCAAGTAATGGAAAATAGCCCTGGAGTGGAAGTCCAGTTCCACCTCCCACTTCCTGGGAGGCCTCAGTCTGTCTTGAAATGTTCTACTGGACCGTGTGGCCAAGAAGTCTCCCAGAGCTAGGGATTGTGGATGGCCACTGAAAGCCTTGGATGCCTGAGGTCCTTACAGAAATAAGAATGCCTCTCCCATCCCCCTTCAGGCTAGATATGCTGAGTGTAGTGTTCCCCTAGTCCCCTGTAACACACTGCCTCCTGATCTGCCCTGACTGCCCAGGGAGGATGAAAGGGAAGGTTTGTGACATAAAAAAGTATAAATGTAGTGACAGCTGACCATTTAGTAGAAACAAGCCTTGCCTTTACACAGCTTTGTATAACAACTAGAAAAGGCTATGATTTTTTTTTTTTCTCTCCCCACCCTCAAGCCCATTCTTTTCGGCATGCAGGTAAGCATCCCTCCTCTCAGCTCTCCTCATTCTGCCAGGGGACCCTGACTAGGAACAGAGAAGTCCTACAAAGAGGAGGGCTCAAGTACCAATCAGCAGCCATTTGATGATGGCAGGTAGGTCTGATGCTAAAAAGAAGTTGTGTCCAGCAGAACCCAATTCCATAGGAATCCAAGCTCCAAGGCTGGGAGGCAGCGGGTGCTAGGGACACGCTCACTGCTGGGAGTCGGTCTGCAAGACCCACTGGACGATCTCGTGGCGACGCAGGCCCTGGACGGCGTTGTCGTAGATGGCATTCACGCTGGTGCACAGGGGCTGCTGCTGCAGCTCTGTCACCCGGCACGCAACCAGCCCTCCTGCCACACACAGCAGCAGCAACAGCAGCAGCAGCTTTAGCACTACCCAGGACCGAGCGTGCTTCCGGGGCGGCGGCTTGCGGGGCCGGGAGCCAGACTTTGATTCTGGAGGGACAGAGTCACGGGGTCAAAACAAGCAGGTTAGTCTGAGGAGAGCCACTCTCAGCAATCTGTGCTAGTCTCTTCCACGCAGAGTATCCCTCCTTCCCCCGATCTCCCTGTGGCACTAATGAGAAAAAATGTTTCGGATTTTAAGACTTAAAAAACTTGGCTCTCTGCTACCCAGTCTCTAAGCCACAAGTATGTTCCCCTGGGACCTGGGGCAGGATCCTGTGGGCAGGGCACTGCCCATGTCACCCAGCTCACGGTCCCCAGGGCCCTATGTCTGCCTAGCCCCATGGGATCATAGAGGGCAGGGCCTGTCTGGAGGCGCCAAGCCAGGAGAGTGCTGCCATCTGGGGAAATGTTGTTAGCATTGTTATCATATGACATGCTAAAGAAAGTGAGCCTGGAAAGGTCAGGCACCAGATCACGAACGGCAAGAACCTCCAGACATGCAGACTAGGAAACAGCACTGGGACACAAACCCAGGTATTAGTATGGGATGCAGGCATCTAAGGGGTATCTTCAGGAATGTGCCAAATGCTGATCCTCCTAAACATATATATATATATATATTTTTTTTTTTTTGGAAAGACAGACTTATAGAGAAGGAAGAACAGAGACAAAGATCTTCCGTCCACTGGTCTGCTCCCCAAGCAGCTGCAACGGCCAGAGCTGAGGCTACTTAATGCCAGGAGCTTCTTCTGGGTCTCCCACGTGGGTGTAGGCTCCCAAGGTTTTGGGTTATTCTCTGCTGCTTTCCCAGGCCACAAGCAAGGAGTTGGATGGGAAGTAAAGAAGCCAGGACATGAACCAGTACCCATATGGGATCCCGGTGCATACAAGAAGAGGGCCACGAGGCTACTGTACTGGGCCCAAGCAGTATTTTTAAAAACTTGAACAAGCTCAATGCCAAGAAACCTGTGATCCTGACGGCTCATTTAATCCTTATCACAACCCTGGTAAATGGGCATGATCCTCATTTTCCACAAGGAACTAAGAAAGGCAGTGGAATAGGCAACTAGCTCAAGGCAGAAGCAAGCAGGACAGACAGAGGTTGCACAGGGGAGCCCCATCACTACATAAACCGCTCTGGAAACTCTCAAATACTCAGGTGCATTGTGTCTGCAGTGGGGCTCCCTCCCTGTTTGAGCAGCAGCTCCTGTTCTGACCTGGGGGGGAAACAGGCATGCTGACTTGGCAGATGCTATACTGTATACCAGCCGCAACCAGTGCACCTCCTGGAGAGGGACTTTCAGGTGTCACCTGACCACAAGCAACCTTGAGCTAGGCTCAGTGACTTCAAACACCAACACAAAGTGAGACTCCCAGTTTTGGCAGTGTCAGTGCTCTTAGATACACATGACCAGGGAGGGCGCCAGCTCACTCAGAGTCCTCTGTTCCCTGTGACCACACAAAGCCTGGCATCTTTCAAGTCCTTGCATGCAAGAGTACATTTAGGGCCTGGTGCAACAGATCAATTGGCTAATCCTCCCCTTTAAGCACTATATGGGAACCAGTTTGTGGCCCAGCTGCTCCATTTCCCATCCAGCTCCCTGCTTGTGGCCTGGGAAAGCAGTCAAGGATGGCCCAAAGCCTTGGGATCCTGCACTATGTGGGAGACCCAGAAGAAGCTCCTGGCTAATTTAGATCGGCTCAGCACTGGCCATTGCAGCCACTTGGGGAGTGAACCAGTGGATGGGAGAAATCTTTGTCTCCTCTCTGTAAATTTGCCTTTCCAATAAAAATAAATTTAGAAATAAATAGGACCTGGCAGCATGGCCTAGTGGCTAAAGTCTTCGCCTTGAACGTGCTAGGATCCCATATGGGTGCCGGTTCTAATCCCTGCAGCTCCACTTCCATCCAGTTCCCTGCTTATGGCCTGGGAAAGCAGTCAGGGATGGCCAAAGCCCAATGCTTTGGGACCCTGCACCTATGTGGGAGACCTGGAGGAAGTTCCTGGCTCCTGGCTTCGGATCGGCACAGCACTGGCCACTGTAGCCATTTGAGGAGTGAATCATCGGATGGAAGATCTTCTTGTCCTATCTCTCCTCCTCTCTGTATATCTGACTTTGTAATAAAAATAAATAAATAAATACTGCAGTTTAGGGGCCAGTGCTGTGGTGTTCCGGCTACAGTGGCATCCCACATGGGTGTTATTTAACTCCTGGCTGTTTTACTTCTGATTCAGCTCTCTCGAAAAGCAGAAGGTGATGGCCCAAGTGCTTGGGCCCTGCCATCCAAATGGGAGAACTCATCCTGGTCCACTTCTGACCGCTGTGTCCATTTGGGGAGAGAAGCAGTAGGTGAATGATCTGTCCTTCTCTATAAGTTGCTTTTCAAATAAACAAATCTTAAAGCAAAAAAGCAGCTTTAAAGGTTAATGAGTGTGCCATCTGCTCACCCGTGCGCAGAGTCCCAGCGGGTCTCCCCACTGCCTTACAGTGTACAGAACACTTACTCGGAGCCTGATGTGGTTCCTTCTTCGGCTTCTTCTCCTGCTCCCGCTTGGCTGCCTTGAGGGCGTCATATTCCTTCCTCCGTCGCTCCTTCCCCTCCGCCTTCTCCCGCTTCCGCGCCTCCCGCTCCTGAGCTTCCTTAGCTCGCTGCTTCGCCTCGCGTTTCTTTTCCGCCTCTGTAATGTCGAACACCAAAAAGGCTGTCACTCTGCCACAATTCCTCCAGCAGTTTCCTTTCCCAAGTGATGAAAATATATGGCTTCAGCCACCTTTTCCTTTAAGCCCTGGGTTACATAAGAAATACTGAAAGGCTGGGGCCAATCCTGTAAGAGCAGTAGGTTAGGTTGCTGCTTGGGATATGAGCAGCCTTCCTCAGAGTGCCAGCTCCACTTACGATCAAGCTCCCTGCTAAAATGCCCTTGTGC